TCGCGATATTATGCGATGAGCGTATACAATCGGCATATTGTTACAGAAGTCGTACACGGTTGCTGTTTATGGCAATTGTTTACGTCGGCCGCAAAATCATCGTAAAATGTCGTTTACGATCGCCGTAAGGGACTACCGTATACTGCTCACGTACACTGTGTTTTACGACATTTTATAATACCAGCGTCCGTATTGTTACGGTAGTAGTTTACGATGAACTTTTACGGACACTGTGTACGATTGCTGTAATATGCTGTAAATCATCGTTTACTGCTGCTGTATATGACTAACGTAAACAGTTGCCGTTTTTCGCCGTATTTGGTTAGTGAACGGCCGTTTACTGCCGAACGTGATTGACCTGGGTAGATTTCTTGAAACAAAAGCAACAAAAATTAGCTATGAAAAATGATTCTTTGGAAGCAGATTCCATTTATCCTGGTTTATCATATGAATTTGTCAACAAGCATCCGTTGTTAAAAATTTGTATTGATTGGTATCTATCAGTTGATCAAGCTGGTACATATTATGATAAGTATGAATTTTTTAAAGATTTCATTAATACTATTATTTATAATATGACTAAATCAAGTAATCATTTTCGATAAAAACCGACGAATTTATTTTGTCATAGAACATGGCCAGTATTTTTATTATATTCGAAAGTTTCAGTCATCGAATCAGTTCTGTCTTTATTAGTAAACTTGAAAGATTCATTTTGAGTTCTCTTGCCGAAAAAAAAACTATGCATATTTTATAAAACAAATAGATTGACATTGTAAAGTAATAATATTTTCCGATAATTTTAACCGTTATTTCAAAGATACAATAATTCAATTTCATAAAATCTACAGGAACTCGGATAAAGATCCTGTTCGTCCTTCAAAATCATCCGATGTTGCCGTATTGTAATACTTTTTGCCATTCACTCCATGTCTTTATAATTTTTTTTCAAGAGAAATACAATAAATATGTCAAGATCATATATTTTTTAAGTTTTGTTCAGAATTAACATAATAAACAGAGTCAATTGAATCATGAATCATGACAGTCCCAACATAATTCAAAACATCGTTTACAATGTAATCCGTCACAACATAATTCGCAATCATCTAATGAATCACTGCAAAAAACTTCTCCACAACGTGTACATGTACTGTAATTTTCATATGTAAGGGATTCTCGACAATGTAAACATTCTCTTATAAAATTCGTTTCTTCTGAATCAGAAGGTATTATTTGGTTGGTTGAAAAATATTTTAATGACGATCGAAAGCCATAACAGTCAGGATCATAACATTATTGAAAATAAATTCTTTTCATAGGATCAACAATAAAGTGGATCGGATTCTTTTTATGATGTCGTTTAATATTTTCACAGTAACGATAAGAGCCAGCGAAGTCAAATTTAAGTTGCCCTTGTGAATTTAATGACGATATTTTACGAATTCGTCCGTTAAATTCTTCAACTTTAGTAGCTATAAAGTTTTCTATATCGGTATATTGATTAGGAAAATCGTTCATTGAATCAGCCAATATGACTTGAGAGTATGGTGGTGGTGGTGGTTCTGAATGTTCATCAGTATTTATAGCTATTGAAGTTGGTGAATGTGAGACCGAACACTCATTCCTTACAAGTAGATATTCCATAGCTCTTTTAGCTGCCAATTGCTCTGCTTCTTTCTTTGTTGGACATAGATTATCACCAATATCACAATGACCATCTACTTCAACTTCAACCTAAAAAAGAAACAAAAACGTTCTATTCATCAAATTTAAAATGAAGTATAACATGTATCATTATTAACATTGAGTTGCTGAAGATGTTCTATACGTATACTTCTACGTATAACGTGATCTATCTTTGTACTTTTGTTTTTAACATAAGTAATCATTACACTAATTACCTGGAATTTCAAACTACGTGGTGGACCCGATTGATTTTTTATTCGATAATTAGGCAAAAGAATCTTATGTTTCTGACAATATTCTTGAAGACTGTTTTTCCATGATGTATTCATTGTGTTTGATTAATGCTTATAATGTTTCACATCATCGTTTTTATATTTCTCTCGTCGTACATGTTTCGTTATTACTCATATTTTCCCCGTGTTTACATAAGTATGCAAAAACCGGGCGAAATAATCATTTTCATACAGTAAGTAAACATTTTTCATTCTGCATAGGTAATGCGTGTCACATTAAAATCATTTTCCCATTATGGTAAGTAATCATTAGCTATTCTGCTTTTTCCTATAATAAATGTGTCATAAAAGAATTCGGAATTTGAGTTATTTAGAAATCTATTGAAGTAATATAAAATCAAGGAAGGGTGTGGTTGCGCGTGTGGGTACGCATCTGAATATGGGTATGGCTGAAATATAGACTAACATTGACATCCACAGGGTGTAGGTGGGTGTGACTATCTTCTTTCATTTCACATCCACGCTCACACCCAGACGCCAAATCGGTATCTACTGTTAGAGTGAAAAGATTTAAATTCAAGAGTTACAGGAGAATAAAAGTATTGTTGAAATCTTTTATTATGATATATCTAAAGGCAATGATGAAAATCAACAGTATATTATCAAATAAATGAGTTTAAAAAAAGGGCGTGGGTATGAGTCTTCTCTTAACACACAACACATCTACACCCACACCCGCACTCACAGTAAGCACTTTTTCAGAGATACTTGTTTGATTGATCTTCCACGTAGTTACTCGTCGAAATACGCTTCTTCGTCCTGATAGTTCATCAGCGACGAAAACTGAGTGTAATCTAAGAATATCACTTGAATTACGAATAGTTCCCTTTAGAAGATTGACTTGGATCGCAATTAGAAGAGTGAAGATAATTACATCAAATGTCGTGCTCACATTACAAAAGATTATTATGGTTTGTGAGATTGAAAATAACTGCTCACTACACTCAAAATAATAAGATCATTATATTCGCAAGAACTATTTACAGCAAATTCTACAAATATAGCTCCGTTTATTCATTTACTACAATGATTTTTCCATTATTTTACTACGTCGTTTCATGGTGATTCATCCTAAAAGTTGCATTACAATTGTGTAATATTTGCCACGTCGCCAAAAAAGTAAAAAGAAAGAATACGTGACAACGTATTACTACAAATTATTCATCATCATACGTAATACAGAGCAAAAGTATCTATTTGAGTCGATAGCAACCAGCATCCATTTCAAAAATGGGTTTATCACATCAAAAACCAGTGGTTAGTCCTCACGAAAATCGTAAACCAGCAATCATATTCATAACGGGACAAAGATCTGCTGGTAAAGGATATTTCTTTTTTTCTTCTATCCATATCAATGTTAGAAAATTCTACTTAAGAAATGATCGAGAAAGAGAAAAACATAACTTTTAAATATTTTCAGCAATGTTTATTGATATGAGAAAACTCAAAACAAAAAAAAAGCATTAATCAATTTTTCTCTTTAATTCTATTTCGATGTAAAGAATTAGTAAATGATAAAAACGTTTTTTTATTCGAGTCTATCCAGCAAAAAATTTCAATCATTGTATTAAAACATAGCAAAAAATACGTATAAAATTTTTTTCGATATATATTGTTTCTAAAGTAAACTTCAGAATAAACAAGAATCATTATTCAAATGTTTAATTGATGGATTGTTTTCGATTCAGGCAAGTCAACAATACTTAATATGACAAAATTTGGCAAGTTTGACAGTACAATATTAACAATTGGTATCGATATGCAGAAATTAGATTTTGATAATATTTCTCTGACAGTTCTGGATGAAGGCGGACGGTCGAGATCACGTGCTTCACGTTACATTCACTATCGTCGAATGTCAGGATTAATTTTTGTTATTGATTCAACTGATCGTGAGAGTATCGATGAAACATGTAAAGAACTTTATGCAATATCGAATGAAGAAGATCTCCGAAATAAATCTATTCTTATCTTTGCTAACAAACAAGATTTACCCAATGCCATGACATTTGATGAATTGTATGAAAAACTTAATTTGACAAAACTCAATACCAATATCAAATGGCATCTACAATTATCCAGTGCAATTCAAAATCAAGGTCTTCATGAAGGTTTTCAATGGTTAGCAAAATCTTTGCTCGAAAATATTGATCCAAAACAATCTGTTAAAGATATAACAAAACTAACAAATAATTTCACATCTAAATCGAATCTTATCAATTTCAATACATTCTTACGTAAACTTATTCAATTTGATTCTAAATTTATTCTTAGTCGTTTTGCATAACAGAGTGAAACATATTTGTCCGATGTTCATTATTGTATTCTTGCTCGAAATAAATCCATATCACATTTCTTTTTACTTTTATTCCTTTTTTCGATTTCGATGTTTGTTTTTTTCGTGAGAAATATGCACGTTGGATGGTGTGGATGTGGGCATGGGGTGTGGGAGTCGTTAGTATCGATGGCTACATCCACACCTTCTAGTAAGTCAAACATAACAAAACAAACTTTTTTCTGTAGCCATTTTGCAACCATCCGCCGAACTGAAAAATGTGATACAAAATTTTAGAGCATGATCTTACCCGATGTATGATTTTTAGATCGGGTTTTCTCGGCCTTGTTCAATATGTTGAACAATATAGGTACAAAACAACTGAAAATATTCATGTTTTCAGTCTCCAAACTAAAAGATGATTAAAACTATAAACA